TATTAGTTAAATCTATGATGGTTTTCTACATGACATAACCCAAGAGTATCTGATCTCTGCTCCATTGTTTGCCTGTAAGCATATACCAAAATTGGGTGGAATTATTAACCACACAACTTCTTGAGATCTCTCCACCCTGATTGGTTGACCCTAATCCTCAATCTGGTTCAAACCATTTAGGAATATAATAGCTGGCCAGATCTTTCTATCTTTTTTCTCTTGTCCATAGTTCTGTAAACCACTGGCCCTTCATTTCAGGTACCTAATGATGAGGTTAAAAATACCAATATCCTTTTGTAAGAATAACAAATATCTGCAACCCAATAAACTTGAAATGCTGTTAAAATAAAAATCTTTGAATAGAAAAAGTAAACTCCTAATTTCATCTTTTTGTGTCCTCTCTTTTAGGTCCTTTCCTGGCCCCTAGGTAGGGTAACTCACTATGAAGTTTCTTTATACTCTCAAAACACCTTGTACATACTTCATATTACTTATTAGCTCCCTGTCTCGCCTACTAGAATGCAAGTGTTTTGAGCATTAGCACTGTATCTTTTTCAACTTTTTGTCATCACTGCATAGCACTGCATCCCTGCATCACTGCATCCCTGGTTCATATTAAATATTCACTAAATGTTTATTCAATGAATAAATATGAAATAAATACAAGGTCTGTCCAGAAAAAGCCCAGCCATTGTTAATATGAGAACGGCTTGTGCGACATTGATGGAACCTGGCAGCCAAGGAGAGTGGACTAGAATGCATGTGCCTGAACAATAACAACTTCACTATACTAGTCAGTGGGGGCTGTAGATACCACTGACTGAGCATGTGTACAGTGTGGCTGTAGCATTCAAAATGACTATAGTGAGCAGAGCAATGAATCTGCATCAAATTTTGTGTTAAGCTTGAACATTCCTCCACAGAAACCATTTGGATGATTCAGAAGGCTTCAGCCATGGGCAACTGGTGATTTGCAGCTTCATCATGACAACGCACCTGCTCATGCATTACGTCTCGTGTGGAGTTTTTTGCAAAACTTCAAATCATCCAGGTGACTCAGCCCCACTACAGCCCAGATTTGGTGCCCTGTGACTTCTGGCTTTTCCCAAAACTAAAATCACCTTTGAAAGGGAAGAGATTTCAGACCATGGATGAGATTCAGGAAAATACGACAGGGCAGCTGACAGCAACTAGGAGAACTGTGTAAGTTCCTAAGGTACATACATTGAAGGGGACTAAGGTGTCATTGTCCTGTGTACAATGTTTCTTGTATATTCTTCAATAAATGTCTCTATTTTTCATATTACATGGCTGGATACGTTCTGAACAGACCTTTTTTAAGATATATTTTAGCCACTTCCAGAAGTGATTTGTAGGATCACCTTATTTATTATCATATTAGTTATCTGTTTTTAGCTCTTTCATCTCTTTCATTTATAGGAATATTTCACTGTTTCTATCAGTATAATAGTTGAAATGGATATTCAGAAAATTATATTCTCTAGCGCCTCTTAAGACTAACAAGGACTTTCTGCTCACTGCTTTTAGAAACAATGGGCCTGAAATCCAACTAGACATGGCAGCCAACAAGACTGTTCAGAGTTTTCCAAGAAAGAAACGTCCATTTTGATACACAATACTTAAATTATAAACAGTGTTCTTAGGTAGACTTGGACCCAACAAATTCATTTGCCAAATGCTAATTAAGTTTCTTTCTCCTAAAATTTTGCACAGTTCCTTATTTAATGAGACAAATAAAATGAGTAAGCCCCTCTTGAAGATCACGATTTAGTGAGCCCGTGCACTGCAACAATCATTACACAATCATTACAGTTAACATATAATGTCATAGTTCACATTTGGAATATTCCAAGATCAACTCAGAAATTATTCTAATCCACTTCATACAGATACAGACTGTTTAACTTAAGTATTTCACTTAGAAAAGAAGTTATTAGAATCATTTTAGAGGTTGGGGAACCCATAATCATCAAATTCACAGGGGTATATAACAGTGATATTCTATAGAAATCTGTTTCTTTTTTACTCTAGTTTATTAGTGAAATGAGGAAATTTAATATAACAGCAATTGACACTCTAGTAACCCTATCAGAGCATTCACTTAATTCAATATCCTTCACTTATATTCTACATACATGAGAGAGTCACAGTAACTTCTGGAGAACTAATGCCTCTGCAGCTTAATCAGAGTATTGCTTAAGCAAAAGTAAATTTGTTTGGCAAGGCCCTCTCCATTTTGGGCATCAATTTCCCCTGGCTATTGTATCAGGGGTGGTCCCAGAAAACCATTAGGAAAGCCTCCAGACTAAACAGCTTACAGGTTCAGCATTCTCTAAATTTGTATGATTAGCCTCAACCAGAATAGCCACATACAAGACCAGATAAGCTACCCACCAGGAATTTATTTCCACACTTTTACTTGTCATAAACAAACAAAAAATAAACCCACAGCAAACAATCTTATTTGTGATGGTGAGCAATCTCTTCTATAGTTCCACATATTAATCTGTCCCATTTTAACTTTGGTAATAGGCAAATGATAGCATAACAACTTTTGATATATAGAACACTGATCAATAAATATTAGCACAACAGTCTTCTACTGAATTAAAAATTTGAGGTTTTGTTACTCAGTGCTAATAGCATCAAATGGTGTCATCAGTTTTCATCACAAACACCTTTGGGTAAATGTGGTGATAAAAAGCCAAGAAAGACCACAGAGATGTAACTCAATTAGACAATTTCATTTAGATGAATCTATGATAGGTGGTAAGAAACTCGTGGTTAAAAAGTAAACCCTTTCTTGGGGCTCTGCATCAGCCTGGTTAATGAATTTTCTTACAGTTTTATATGCCTAAAGGAAATTCACTTTTACTCTCTTTTAGGAATATGCCATTCCAATGAATTTTCATCTTAAGGTTTGTAACATGTGTGTTTTCCCATTTGCCTTAACAGTAATAATGAGAAGCTGCACATGGAAAGGAGCTACATAATTTTGTTACTTTGTAGAGAGAAATGTAATAACTTACTAGTTTTTACTTTGTAATATGGACAGAACTTGATTTTGAATAAGGATGCCCAGTATATTAAGGATGCCCAGAAATAGTTATATTGTTCTGTTTATTAAATTGAATTCCTTGATATTTCTATTTTCAGTCTTTAATATCATTTCTTTTTATTCTCATGACAGTAACTTAATAACGGGATGCCACATTTTTTAAAACGTAGATCGAAATAGCCTATCATACTTCACAGTCAGTCCTGCAATTCATTGAGAAATAAGCACTACAGCCTTAAACAAGGCCTTTATTTTGTGTTTTAAAAAAGTGTCATAAGGAGTTAATAGGACACAGCTGTACTGGCTCTTTCTAATAAGCAGCTTCTGTCGCTTTGGTCACCACAGGTGTCTCTGTAACCTGCAAACTCTTATTACTAGTGTATCAAAGTTGTGCTACTTAACAGACTTCTTTAGTAAAACATAACAAAGCAATTACATGGCTGTTGATTGCCAGTCATAAAAAAAAAACCCTCAAACACTGTTTTTCAAAAGAAACTACACTGCAATTTTTTGTCATTGTAAAATAAAAGGAACTAAGGAATTAAATGGAGGATAGAACAAAATAACAGCAGGTAGCCTGCTGAACTTAGCCACTACAGATGGTTTAGAAATAGTGTTTCCTTCTCCATCAAGTTGTGGATAAAAGGAAAGGAGGAGATTCCTTACTGCCAGTGAATGTGAAAGATTTAGCCAAGTCTCCAGTCTATGTATTTTGCCTCATGAAAGACCTTAGATACTGCATTTTTATCTGTTTTTGGCACTGCTTTTCATCACCTTTAACTGAGTGTGAGTAATAGCCTGATTTAATTTAAACAAATACAGGTGCTAAAGGTTGTTTATGTATAACAGGAGACATTTCCAAGGCAGAACGAAGTCATCCTATGAAATTTCCTAAGCATTTGCTTAAAGAAATGAAGTGTTAGATGAAGGAATTGCTTCAACATTCTTTTGCTTCACAATTTAAGGAAAGAATCGTCTTTCTTTGCATATTTAGTTTACATAAAACAAAGTCTGAATGGTGAGCAAAACTTCAGTGTGCCATAAAATAAAAAGACAAGTCAGATGATTCCATTTCTAACTGTCTTATAATTGTTTAAATTAGGTAACTATAGCAGACTTGTCTTAAAATGAATTAATTTAATCTCCTTGTTCATGAACCAGCAGACTATGGTTATGATTGTGTTAACATACCCTAAGTAGTATCACGGGATGTTATGGGAACGTGTGTAATTAAATATGATGAAATATATTTCAGATAGGAAATGCAAATAGGCAAAATACGAAGAATTATTCACCACTTACAGATATTATGATTAACAAACTAAGTAAATTTACCCTGACAGCTAGAAAAGGGTTTTTTTTCTATTGAGAATATGGATGTATGCAAAAGAATGTGTGCAATAAAGCGATTACATCAATTAGCATATGCTAGAGTTACGCTATTACCAACTCCACTGCCCTGGTCCAGAATGTCCTGCCTTCTTCACTGGAATTACTAAAAAAATAAACTTACTAGTAGGATTATATGTTAGACTGGCCTTGCCTTTTCTAAACATTATTTAAAAACAGACTTTTCTCTAAATGTTTAATAACATATTACAACACTAGGACATATAGTACAAAGAAATGTACTATGTCTCTTTTACTGCACAAAGATGAGAACAATGTATTTTGGTTTTGGTTTTCTATTTATTCTTGAATTTAAGAAATCTTTGCAAGTTAAGGAATTCACAGATATGTTAGTGTGAACTAACTGCATATGTTAGCTACAACAAATAGCTTATGTCTAATTAAATATAATGGTAGAGAATTTAATGCCGAGGATGAAAATGCTTATGATGATAAAAAATCAAGTACAGTGATGACTTAAAAAAAAAAAAAGGCAAGAAGAAGCCCAACCGTAACTTGTAAAGAATATTACCTTGCTCTATTGGCATCCTTTGTCAGATCCCAAGCCCAGGTTATAAAATTTTGGCTCAGATATGAGACAACAGATTCAGCACATAACATTTGTGAGCAGAACACGTTGGTTAATACACTTTCATCATGGTGGAGGTAGATAGCAAGAAGCTTTCTCTGAAAAAAGAAAAAAAAACTGATGAGTTAAAATATCCACTAATGTAAGATTTCTTGAATCTTGAAGGGCATAAGCAATCAATATTAGCAGCAAAGACAAAATTGAATTCTATTCCCTAAAAGAGTACCCAACACTGGGAGTTCCTAAAGCATTTAGTAATATGGATAAATTTTCTTCCTTATACTTTAAAGAGGCTAGGACAGTTATGTTCCATTTTACAGACTTGTCACAGAGTCCTGTTAACATGTGCAAGCCTATCTCAAGCAGAAATTGCAAAAGAATTATGTTTTCTTAAAATAAAATGGGTTTACCACTCTCCATATTTAAACATACTTTATAAGTAAAGGAAAAATTCATTTTGAACTATTAACTCTGTCTTACATATTTTCAATGTTTTTAATCTGAACACAGAATAGTTTCTTCTACTTGAAAGGAAAAAACCTGAAATGAAGTTCTGTTTTATTCCTATAGGTAATTTCAAAGCCCTTAATGTGTTCCCATTTTGAAGTCCTTATTTAAGACCATGTAACATCTAATTGCCCCTTGAAAGGGTAGAAAAATGTTCACTTCACATGAATTCTTTCTAGTTTATATTTCAGAAAATGTCCTATTAGTTTTCTCATATGGAAAATTACTCTTTTCCTTTTGCCTGATAAAACTTGCTTTCAAGAAATGACATTTGTTTTTTTAAAAGAAGTGTCTTATCATAGGTGGACATTCAATAAAATAACTGAAACTAAAAACTAAACCAAACAACATAAATTGCAACAATCAATCAGCTTTAAAAACAACAACAATTAAAGAGCCTAAATTGTTGTTAACTAGTTCCTGATGCTACCTTGTAGAAGAGCTGAATTTAAGAACAGTTACTAGGAAATAAAAAGATAAACTTTTATGGTAAAGATAATGTATAAACCAATCTGAAATTCTAGCAAAGAAAAATTTCAAAAAAGCTCAGGGTTTTTCTTTTCATATTGAATAAGGATGTGATGATAATGAAAAAAAAACAACTTTGAGATACTAAACATTTATAGAAAAATATAAGGCGCAAGTTGATGAAAGGTTAGTTAAGTCTGATGAACATATCTGATGGAATTACCTGATAAATAATGCAAATTATAATGAAAAAAGAAATCATTAAACTATTTTCTCCAAAGGTAATCTTTGTACTAGATGAAAGTAGCCACATAGGTAGTTTAGATTCCATAAGCATCTACTATGAAGAGGAGGCAGTTAGTTACACACTCATTACCAACTTTAGTCCCCAGAATAAACCTGTAAAATGCTATTCTTAACTTTATTAGCATATGAGAAAATTTAGGCTTGGAGAGCTGACTTGTCTCAAATTCCACAACTAGTTAAGTAAGCAGTACATGTACTGCTTACTTAGCGTTCTTTCTTTAATAAAAACACTAACACTACAGGCAAGGTTTAAAAGTGCTTATTCAATATGAAGATGCCAGACTGGCCACTGGTTATACATCAGTGCTCCTGGGGCCTCAGAGACAGCACGTAACAGGCATTAGTACAGGATTTCTAAGTATAAGTAGCTCAGCTACTCCAACAGTTTCTGCTTCTATGTTTCAGGTCATTTATTCATTCATTCAACAAGCATTTGTTGAAATACTCTTTTTGTCAGGCCCAGCAGGAAGCAGCGGTGATAAAAATGGTGAGTAAGAAAGACTTAGGGTTCTTCATCTATGTGGAAATCTGCAGGTAACAGTGGCTGGCTTTTTAGGAAGTTTGTAATCAGATACATTACTGGAGAGATACTTATCTGATAAATTCCTACTCATCCTTTAAGGCTCAAAGCAAAAGCCTCTGTGAAACCTTCCCTGATTCCCTTAGGCAGAGTTAAGAGCTTCCTTTTCTGGGCCTCCATCTTCCCATTAGTATTATAATTGTTTACCAATATTCCCTCTAGACAAAGTCTTTCAAGTGCAAGGTTTGGGTCCCATCTCTTTCAGTCTTCTTTGCATCCTTAAGCTAGCATAGATCTCAGTATGTGTGATGAAAGAAACTTGAATGCTGATTTCAACCACAGCAAACCCCCTCGCCCACAGCAAAAAAAAAAGCTTCCAAATGGCAGCAGCAATACCAAATCACTTTTAGTAAACGAATCTAGAAGTCTGCTGCTTTAGGGAAAGGAACGTGAACCTGGCAGCACAAACAAACTCAGAGATCCTCTTCTTAGGAGCTCACTAGCTGAATAGACAGAGGGATGTCAACCTCTAATTCTGCTTGATCGTATCTCAGCAACTACATTTAATGAGACACTGGGAACAAGAGAGCAGTCCACTTGAAATCAGCATGTTTCTAACCAAACAATGGCAATGGTTAAATCTTTAAAATGCCTATTTCTCTAAAGAACACTGAAATGGAACATTTAGACTATGGGAAAGAGATTAGTGATTACATTGCTATCTCACTGATTTAATTTAAATGCTCTTCCAAACCAAACACACATGTGCTGAAGAGGCTACCAAGAAACCCAACATGCAGAGTTCCCTATAAGTGCAGTCGACAGTGTTGACTGAAACTAAACTTGGAAATCCAGGGCACTAATGCACAATATCAAGCAATAAAACAGCATCTCTTTGGCAATATTTAATTTAAAAAAAGAAGAAAGAGGCAGGCGAAGATCAGGCACTGTCTGTTTTGGAGGATCAACCATTCTGCATTTCAAAGCATCGGTCCCTGCAATATCCAGGTTACTGTGCTAGAATCTTCACTATTATATCGCAGTTGTGAGAGGGAGGGCAAAGATGTGTTTACTCAGTGATTAGGCCCTTAGAATAAGCCTCTAGCTCCTAGAGAGACAGCTCACCACTTATTCATTTGGGCCAATTCACAAAGCCTAGGAAGATTAAACATCCATGCTGAGAAGACAAGCGAATGCAGACGGTGAAAAAGAAATAAAAATTCTTTAAAAACTCTGAGATGACTTCATTATTTTTCCACAAGGAAACTTTAGGAAAGTGTTTAGTTAGAGAAAAACCCACATTGACCTCTCTCTAAACCCTTAATCTTTCCTTTGTGGTGGCATTGCTTTGTGGTAAGCTACTGGCTCGCCTCGCTCCTCTTTTCACTGGAAGCTGAGAGAAAAAAGGCTCTGGAGAAACAGTTTTCGTTCCAGGGACACAAACCCCTGACACTGTTAAACATGAGATGCCAGGAAAACACACTTAAAAAAGTCTCACTTTAAGCTCAAAACTGTGAGAAAAGAGATGATAAAAAGAGTACCAGAAGAGGATCTTCAGGCTGGGGGTATTCCCATAGTAGCTTTAAACAAGGGAGATGGAATACTCTTAGAATAATCTTTTCTCTCTAATGTACTATGCTTTCAACAAAATTTCTTTTCTATTATTATGACTGTAATAATAAGCAAAATATAAACACTTTTAATAATATGCAAATGCTACTAAATTCAGGCTACATAAATTTCATTAAATTACAGGCACAGCTAAATGAACCCCCAGACTCAGATTTCTGATAATTTTTATTTAGCTCAATTAAACACAGGCCAAAACAGTGAAAACTAAGTTCAGCATATCAGAAAACTATTTTTGTTAAGAAAGGGCATCTAGTACATAGAAAAAGCACAAGAAAATGTTTTGTTTTCCATTACTATTACCATTTTCCCTTTGGCCCATTAATAATTTAGTTCAATAACATTTACAGAGTATCTATGTGTTAGATATTGAGAATATAAAGATGAATAAAGCAAAATTTCCTGCCCTCAAAGAGCTGGAGGAAGAGCGGTATATGAGGAAGCAAAGATTTCATTCCAGTGCCACATGGTAAGACTGGGGAATTAAAAAACTACTTTATTTGTCCTTTGTAATTGGCAGATAGAGGGTAGTAAGTCTGGTAGATGACAAAGGCAAGCTGCCCAGCTACACTCTACTCAGACTCCCTCTTTATGATCTAAGTTTTGGCAATACAGTGTAAAGGAAAGTCTGCTAGTTTTAAATAAAGAAAGCTCTGTGCTAAACCCAGTTTTGCCATATTGAAATTTCTCCAAGTACCTCAACATGTCCTCTGCAGCTGTTTTATTTATTGTTTTAAATCTAGGCTCTGATTAGGATCATTCCAGTATACTCAATGCCCACTTCCATAATCCTGTTCCTAGATCTATGAATGTTCATAGGTCTAGCCCAGCATGAAATGGTGACTCAAGTCAACAGAGGTAGGGCAACATGAAGCCACACCGTATGGGTTTAAATTTCTGCTTTGCCACCTCCCACCAGCGGTGTGACCTTGGGAAAGACACTTCACTTTTCTGTACGTTGGGTGCCATATAGCTCTGGAGGTCAGAAGTCCAATGCTTTGTTTAGATGGGATTGGTGATATGAGTGCTGTAATAGGGGAGGTCCCGGGGTCTAGGCATGAATACCAGATTGGCTGCTTCTTTACAAAGGTGATACTTGAGCTAAATTTTAAAAGCAGGCCATATTAACTAACTTCTCTGTGATTTGAGCTTAATTTTAAATATAGGTTATCCTGAGAGAGAAAAAAAAAAGAGTGAAAAAGAGAAAAAGCAAAAAAGTTTGGGGAAAGCCCAGTGATGTCAATGGCCTAATGTGTTCAAAGAATTCAAAGTTTAGTAATTTTTGAAGAGAGAAGAACCAGAGTGCAGGTTGATTTGTGGAGACAGTCATGACGTTTTGCCTTTTTTGGCTCCCAAAGCTGAGTTCAGGGACCAACAGGCAGCAACAAATTAGAGAGGTTCCAAAAGGAAACAGTCCAGTCAGCTATTGAAGGTGAGATGCCAGGATGGTGTCTTTTCCCTCTCACTTCCTGAAGCAGATGTTGGGGGAGCACTCTGAAACCATGAGGACACCGATGTATTTGAGTCTCACATTAGAACTTCCAAATGGAAGTTATAGGTTAAGGAAAAACAAACAAAAAGCCTAAAGTACAATCAAATTCTCTTCACAAAATAAACTGACATTGGGTATAAAGCTTTATGACTTTTCATTATTTAGACTGTAATACT